ATCGTAGCTCAAAAGGTCTTGTATTATTTGTTCCTGCAATCCGAAGGTGGCGAGCTATTTATTTTGTACGTATGAGTTATAGAACTTTTATACCAATGAAATGTTTACGTCAGGTGATAGGTTATGATTGCTGTACGACCCGAAAAAAGATATTTTTTAATTTTTGTCGTTTTTACTACAAAAAAATAGCTCGCCCCATTACATTTTATGTCTATTTCAATCCTGTAAAAGCGATTTTAATTCCGTTTAGTATTTTCGAAGTTATCGTTCCAACTGCAATTGTCGGTAATTCCCGATCTTTCAGCATCCTCTTAAAAAGAAATTTTGGTATATTTAAGGTAAATGTTTACCTTTACACAGTCAGCCCCAAATGACTTCCGACTAACCTTGACCTTGACCTTGACCCTTAAGGTCACTGATATTTCCCGTCGCTTATTGTTTATTAAAAAGTTATTAACATAACAAGTTATATGCTCATTTAACCGTGTGTCATGTTTAGGGGATTTAGGAGATTATTCGTTAAAAAGTTATTAACAAAAGAAATAATCCCAATGGGGGAGTGGGGGGGTGAGGCCCCCCCCAGTAGGTAGTATGGGCGCGGACGGGGAGGAAGGTGCAGGGGGGCTCCGCCCCTCCTCCCGCCTAGCACATAGCTAATATCTATTGTAGAAACAGAAAATACGTGCTTTAATGCTCCTATTTGTTTAGTAAGACGAAGATTTAATAAATATTCAATTTAATATATTTTCTATAATACCTTGCGTAGGGGTCTAATTTTTTTCGGTATCCATTTATCTTATTGTTCTGTGTATAAAAGTATTGATCCCACAAAAAATCTTTTTAAAAAAAGAAAAAATATACGCCAAGTACATAAAAAATGTCGCATATTACATTCTTTCTAAAACTAAGAACAACTTTTTATGAAATGATTTAAATATACAATTATTTAAAAATTAATTGATTGATCAAAAATAGTCATAAAATCAATAAATTAGCCAAGTACCTCATTATTAAAAAAAGACCTTAAAAGAGTTTATTTGTGGAAAACATTCAAAAATGTAAAAATGGAAAAGTGATAAACTAAATTATAATAAAGAAAAAACTTGGCGTGCCTGAGTCGTATTAATTGCATTTCTGTAATAAACAATATGTAAATTTATATGGAAATAATTTCAATACATATACGTATATATATATATATATATATATGCTTTTTTATTAATTATTGCGTTCATGTTTGTGTATATTCGCAACTATATGGAATAATGTTTTTATATTGTATATTTACTCGTATTACAAATATTTTATATACTATAAATTATTGATTGTAAAACGTTGCATTTTAATGCGACCCGAGCACTTTGACTATTAGTTTCATGCTTGTGTATATCTGCAAATAATTTCGATACTATGAAACATACATGTGGAATATTGCATTTTAATGCGATTCGGATACGCCAAGTTTTTTCTTCATTATAATTCAGTTTATCATTTTTCCATTTTCAAATTTGTGAATGTTTTTCACAAATAAGCTTTTTTTTAATAATGGAGGTATACTTGGCTAATTTATTGATTTCACGACTATTTTAGATTAATCAGTCAATTTTTAAATAATTGTATATTTAAATCATTTTATAAAAAGTTATTCTTAGTTTTAGAAAGAATGTAATCCTACCAAAACTCTTTTTAAAAAAAAAAAGATTACGCCAAGTATATAAAAAAGTATCGTACGTTACGTCCTTCCTAAACCAAAAATATTATTTTAACAAATAAAAATTGTCCAAAAACAAATAATGAGATCATACAAGTTGCCAAA